CCCCTTCCGATTGATCAATGTACACAAGACTTATTCATTCGCGTATAATACGCACTCGTGTGTTATATGCACCCTTAACTATGGGCAATTAATTCTGGAAAAATATATCTCTTGTATAAACATTTCAGGCTGTCAGCATAAACCACAAAATTTATCTTTCAACTCTGTTTTTTTTTCACCAAAATAATATTCCCGGGCGCTTATTACGTCGATTACGTATGTGCTACACTGTAAACGAAACTTCAGTGTAACGTACACGGAGAATGTCTAAAACAAAAAGCAGATTGAATGGAATGCCCTTGCTGTTGATGGACACCATATTCCATTCCCGATGTTTTGTAAAGTAAAGAAGACAAATGTATTACTGTTATCTCTGGGGATGCAATCTTAACTTAACATGCTCAAGGTCCTACTAGGATAAGACATAAATGAGAAAATCTCACCAATAATGTAGACAGTCCACTGCGAGGATCACACTCTTCATGCATAAGCAGCCGCTAATTGAAGATATAGTTTGCAAGGCAGCTATTCGCCATAATGACTCATTCGTACTTATGATTGTTTTCAAAGGTCAAGTGTGTTATAGTGTATTCCGGATATGCTTATTTAGCTGCAAATATAGCCTTTGAAGTATGTACAGGCTTCGACGAGATGAATCAGTTTATGTGTCAACATCATTTGTTTCTTAAATGTTTCAAAAAATTACTTAGTTGTGCTGTCACATTTAACAATGCATTGATGCATCGCAATTTTCAGCATGTCAGTGCGATTTTTATTTGGTTGTTGGTTGGTTTGTTGTTTAACGCCGCACTCAGCAATATTACAGCTATATGACGGCGGTCTGTAAATAATCGAGTCTGGACCAGACAATCCAGTGATTAATATCATGAGCATCGATCCACTTTTATTTGGAGACTGCTTCACTTCCTCTTTGCTTGTCCTACATATCGTAACATTAGAAGCACTGTGTACTACTACATAAAGGGTTTTGATCTGATCTGATTTGTTTGTTTGTTGTTTAACGCCGTACTCAGCAATATTCCAGCTATATGACGGCGGTCTGTAAATAATCGGGTCTGAACCAGACAATCCAGTGGTTGACATCATGAGCATCGATCCATGCAATTAGGATACGATGATATGCATCAACCAAGTCAGCGAGCCTGACCACCCGATCCCGTTAGTCGCCTCTTACGACAAGCATAGTCGCCTTTTACGGCAAGCATTGGTTGCTAAAGACCTATTCTATCCCGGATCTTCACGGATCGGTTTTGATCTGAAAACAGCATTGTATGATAACAGGGAGTTAACAAGAGATGTTAACCACATCATATTTATGTCTGTCCATGATTTTATAGAAAATAGTGGTAGGTTTGTACATTAAGTATAAAGATATGTTCAGCTTATACGCATGACTGTAGTCTTGGTAACATGAGTGGTCTTCTTACCATATGATTTTTATTGCTTCTTGACCTTAAAGTTTGGATGTCAACACAGATGTAATTATGTAACAGGGGAGCGGTATTTACATAAGTCAGTTAGGCCTGTTTACCAATCCCTTTCAACTTAAGTTGAATATAATATGTTTAAACTATTTTATAAGTAATATTTACAATGTTTCACCACAGTCCGTCATGATAACTACTGGTGCTAAGGTTACAATGAAAATGATAAATCTGATTATTACATATATAATAATTATATAAATATGTTTTAGAATGAGCACAAATTTAACCGTCGTCCGACACAGTAACAAATTATTTTCAGCAGGGCCACATGGAATGTTGAACATGTGAAAAACGGCACGTTTATGTTGTGCTCCATCATTAGCTTTTAATTAAATAATAATTACATTTTGTAATGGTGATCAAGAGCGTTTTCAATATGGCTGCCGGATTCGAACCTCTTGAACAATTAGAGTTCATCATTGGTGGGGGCAGGTATGTAGACTTTCACTTTCAATGGTCCTGTGATTTCTGAAGATATTTCGCCGGACGACCATCAAGCATGCCATGACATTTAAGCTCATTTTATTTTCAGCCAGGTTAGCTAGAAAGTGTTCTTCAACGAGGTAGGATAAGAACAAATTTTGCACCATGGGAAATGTCAAATTGTTACATTACGAAACTTTTAAGCATGGGTACAACCGCCTCCGTGGTCTAGTGGTAGAGTGTCCGCCCGGAGAGCGGAAGGTTTGGGGTTCAATTCCCTGCCGCGTCATACCAAAAGACGTTAAAAGATGGTACTTGTTACCCTGTCTGGCGGCTAAAACAAGGACTGGTCGGCTCGGAGTATACT